TGCAACATTTTAATACATTATACACAAAATATAATCTTACTCAGAAACAAATGTTTAATCAGTAGATAGAAAAAAATATTTATTATGTTACATTGCCCATACTTATATTTAGTTTTTAAATTGTTGAAATAATGATCTTTAAAAGGTGTAAATGAGCAGGAAAATGTGAACTTAAGGTAATAACAAAATGAACTAAAAATTAAAAATCAAGAATTAGGATCTTACAATGCTTCATATAGCTAACCTAATGGGTTTTGTCATATCTAGGTGACTGCTTTTATAAATTCTAATAATATATGAATTTGTAAGACTTTGCAAATCCTAAAAATTTTTAGCATTGTCTTTTAAAATCGGCTGTGTTGCTAAAGCTACAGGGACATGTACTTTAGGAGTCTCATCTCTGATTTAATAGAAGTACTAAATACTATTATATGAAATAATTTACAAATTAAAGCTATATATTTTTTTAAATAGACTGACTCATCTAAATTGAAGTATGTGAGCCTGATTTAATGGTACACCATTAATTTTCATTGAACTGAAAAATCTTTTAGGTATTCCCATTCAGTACCTTCTCTACCTACTATTTCTACTGCACGTACCATTTATCATACAAACATATGGACCATAATGTTATTTAGTACATTATGAAAATAACACTTTATGAAGCACCTTGGTGAAAATGATTGTGATAGACAATGTTTTCTGGAAGTGTTAGTATGGCCAGTTATCTGTGTGAGATATTGTAGAGGCAATACTTCATTGGTATTATTAGTGAAGTGAAATAGTATACATTCACAGACATATGGAGGGAATCTGATAAAGTCTTTAAAATGGCCAAGCTAAGCATTTGGAAGATATCACTGATTTAAAGCTTTAGTTCAATGTTTGTCAACCTTAGCAATGTTGTGTGGACTTCAATTCCAGTGAATGCTGGGGAATTCATTAGGGGGAGGGGATACATGTTCTCCATGAATACTCCATTTATAACCCTAAAATCCTCACACAGCCTCATCAACCTGTCTTTCTTCTCCTTTAACAACTCTGCCACATGGGATTTGACCAGCTGAATAAAGCCTTAGGTTAGGTTTTTGTCAGTGTAGTTCCTCGGCTCTTCCATCTTCTTTGGGTCCACAGAGTACATTTTCAGCTTAGGGAGCTTTGCTCCTGGCAGGATCTCGATAGCACAATCGGTAGGCCAGTGGGGCGGGGGAGTAGGACGTTGCACTCTTCACTGAGTGCACAAGGTCTCTGTAATCTTTAGGAATGAGTGGAATTCCTGATGGCTGCTCTGAGATGGCCTTTAAATGCTCAGTACCCCCCACTGTCTGCCACTTGGCTTCTCCTCCAAGGCCTCTCATGGTGGGGGGGGCGGGGGGGGAGAAAGCTCTCTCCCTAGCCTCTTCTTCCTTTCTCCTGCCACCATATGGTAGGGCCCCACTTGTTTAGCCAGGACAGTCCCAGGATCATCACCTCCGTCATTTTTGGTGCTGTCACAAAGCGAATGACCTCATGGCCTATTTCTAGCCACAAAGGTTCCATTAGGTGGATTGTGGGGGAGCCCCCTATCAGAGAACTACTTGTTCAAACCTCATGTATTGGGTCAATTTCCTCACCTATATCCTCAGCCTCAGCACCATCAGCATGCTCATTAGGCAATGGGTTCAGCTTGAGTGTATGAGTGCCTCCAACTCCCCCTGAGCTCCCAATTTGAATGCTATGATCTTCACCAGGATGGAGAAGGGGCGGATGCCTCCACTTACCATCAGGTCACTCTCCCCATCATCGTCACTCTTGTAAAGGTTGGTTGCTGGTCCTCCTTATTCTCCCTTGCTGCTAGGGGAGGTGACTTCTATGACCTGGTGTGTTACATTTGACTTCTCTCACCCCTTCCACTGCAGTTTCTTCAGTTTGGCCTGAGTGCGCACCTTCCCTCTTGGTCAAGGAGTGGGCATCAGGCACTTGGTTACCATATGGCCCTGCTGGCTGCATTGGAATGCTCTGTGGGCCAGGGTGGCTAAGAGGGCGGTCGCCGGGGTGGACATTGGTCTTCGTCCCAGCTGGCGCTGCTCTTGACTTCTTTTCAGCTTTGACTCAGAGGTGCTAAGTCTCTTATACTCCCTCAAGTTGATGTCTATCACCATGGCCATCCATTACTACTCACGGATCCTCTCAGCACTCCCCAGGATAGGCAGGCATGGAACAGTTCCAGGCCCTCTCTGAAGTGATAGACTAGCAACTGCTCCAGCCAGTGCCTCAGCTTCCTGGAAACCCTTCAAAATGCTCGGATATACTCCTTCACCGGCTGGCTCCCCTGCCCAACATCTAGTATTTCCAACTCTGCTTTCTGGGCTTGGGTTTTGTTTTAGAACCTGCCTCTAACTCATCCAGGAAGACATTGATATTCCCCAGCTCCGTTGTGTCAGCTTGTCACCCATTCCACTGCCTCCTCTTTCAGGTTGGCCGTCATGACATTCACCATAGCCACCTCATAGGCCAGAGCATACCATCCCAGGTGGGCCCACACCTGGTTCAGGAAGAACACCAGCTCCTCTGTGCTCCTGTCAAAGGGGGCTCTTATCAGCAGGGGATCTACTCATGGAGGTGGGGGTTCCCAGTGTCTAATAGAACCAGCCAAGCCAAGGGTAGTAGGGTGATGGCATGGGTCTGGGATATCCTGGGAGGACCTGTGGCCAGCTGCCTGCACCCACAAATGGACTCGTTGCTCATTGGGGCCTCATGGGGCTCTGCCAGGGGCCCAGATCTGTTGAAGCAGTGGCTCTAGGAGGTGGGCTGGCAGCCCTGGCCACAATGACTATATTGTGTGAAATATTGTAGAGGCAATATTTCATTGGTATTATTAATGAAGTGAAATATGTATATTCACAGACATATGGAGGAAAATTGATAAAGTCTTTAAAGTGACCAAGCTACACATTTGGAAGATACCACTGATTTAAAGCTTTAGATCAATGTTTGTTAACCTTAGCAAGGTTGTGTGGACTTCAACTCCCAGTTGAATTTCCAGCTGGGGAATTCACAAAAATGTTCACAGATCTTAAAGTGGACAAGGTTTAGAAATACTGATCTAGACAAATGCTTCATTCATATAAATGTTCTTAGAAGTTGTTCTTTCATGTACTTGAACCAGGGAAATGCAAAAGCTGACTTTTAGTACCACCCACTGAATTAGCAGGGATGTTTCAGGATCAACTGAACAGATGCAATTATGAAATTACAGTGTTATAATGTACCATTCCAAAGATTCATTAATTAACAAATGAATTGTATAGAGACATGGATTCATGTGCTGAACAAAGGGTGGATTCCAGTGGTGAAATCCAAACCAGTTTGTTACCAGTTCACTGGCCATGCATGCGCGCTGCGTGCCAAATGCATGCTGCATGTGCATGCAGAGTGTGCACCAAACACGTACTCTGTGCGCATGCACACATGCACAGTATGCACCAAAAGGAGGCTTGGGAAGGTAAGTAGACCAGCGAGGGGTGGATCAGCTGTGGCACATGATTTAGCTTTGCTAGAAAGCAGGATTTCCTGCTAAACCCCGCTAAACCCTGCTGTACAGCTGATCGTCGGAAATACCAATTCAGAGAAACCTGTAGCTTTTTTAAACTACCGGTTTGCCTAAACCAGTAGCTAACTCTCTGTTCTCCCGAACTGGTATCTTTTTTTTACTACTGGTTCACCTGAACTGGAGCGAACCTGTAGCATTTCACCCCTGGTGGATTCTATGTCCTAAATGGCCTCTTCCATTATTCTGGAAATATGATTTAACAAACCTGTCCCCAAACTGAAGAATAATTAATCTGTCAAGCTGTTTTTATCTACATACATTCCCTCTGATCTAATTAGTTAAATGCATTCAGTAATTGTTATTTCCATTTTATTCCAATGGGGATCATATCTAAAAGTGAGCAAGATTCCTAGGCTATAGTACGTGAAAAAAATAAGAGATCTGTGACATCCACATAGATTAGAACATGGGTGTCAAACTTGATCTTGTCACATGATGTCATGTGACGTATCATGACTTTTTTGCCTTTGTGGAGCCAGGGTGGGCATGGCCTGCACATTATGCATCTGGCCCGCAGGCTGCCAGTTTGACACCCCTGGATTAGAAAGTCAAAAACAAAACGATACATACTCAGAGGTGGCTGTACATAAAGAAACCAAAGTTGCATGATATCTAATCAGATCCATGATATACTTAGCCTAGCAATATCAGTTCTGGAAGCAAGTCTCCAAGCTATCAAACTATTTTTTTTCCCATCATTTTCAGGGAATTCTGCTATTAACTTAACCCGGGTTTTTCTTCACTACCATTCAGCAATTTCAGAAATGTGCATTAAAACAGCTCTAGCTTACAGTATGGGCTAAGACATATCCACTTCTGGAAAAGATTAGCCAACATGGAAATAAATATTGATTTCTACTTCAAATTGCATGCCATCATCTCTACAATCCTGGAATGCCATCTCTTCTCTTCTAATAGTGGACTATTATTACACATAACGTCTTCACAATACTTTGGTTTCTTTAACCTTCGTCACTGGTAGCTTGGCAGATTTTGGTTTTCAATCTGCTAGTTACATTTTGTCACATATAGAAAACATCAAGCCATTCATTCTTTACTTCTTAACATTCTCTACAATGGTTCCAATGGTTCAAAATGGAATTCCACTGAAATATTCCTTTTGTTTCTCAGCTACTTACCAGCCCAATTTAGGGTGCAGGATAAATAAAAGCAGATAACACCAATGATTTGTTTTACATGAAGCACAAAGGCATGGCAGTTGTTCCTGCTCCTGAATATGCAGGTTGCTACTTCCTTCCACCTGGATATACAGCAACACTTTTTAAAGCTTCAGAGACATAGGGTGGATGAGTGGAGGTTGCCCAGAAAGTGTAAAGCATAAGGAAGTTCTAGACTGGGGTAAAAATCATAGTTCAGATCTTTAAAAAAAAAAACACCACATCTGTTTGTTAATAATTATACCTTTAAACATATTTATTAATAGATTTATATTTTGCAGGACACTCCATTTTTCTTTCCGTCATTGCAATAATTGTTTATTACTTTGAGGTTTTCAAATTAAGAAATTCTGCATTTCAGAGCAATAACACAGAGCAGCATTTCCATTAAATATTACGTTTTAAAGGAGAGCCAGGCTAGGGTACATTCTAATTTACATATAACAAAAATAATTGTTTTAAAATGTGTGTTAGAACCATATATACTGTATAAAAATATTTTCAGAATTGAAAAGTATCCAAATAAGACATTTCTAAACAAAAATAAATGTTATACAGGGTAAATCAATTTCAATTTCCCATCCCAAATTAATTTTGGTAATATAAATATCCAAAGAGGGATTTGTCACATTAGCACTTTTTTCAAATAGAATGTCTAAATTGTGTTATAATTCTTTTTTCTAGTTTTACTTCAAATGAGTTTAATAGTAATATTAGTCCCCACTCCTTAATGAAATATATTTATCAGTATGGCTTTACAGCCATTTTGTATATGTTACAAAATATATCATTAAAGACTGACAATATCTTGTTAGATTAACAACTGCTCTCAGTAATTTATACATATATTTATATTAATATTGCCTTAATTTTTAAGGATGTTTCCATTTAAAATGTTTGTTTTTATTCACAAAATAATTTTAACAAACTCTCAGCAGCATTAGACATTGTGGCAAACTATTATTTATCATCTTAAGAGCTAAACTAGATGAGATGCTTAAATTCTTACAGACATCCCAATCTTCCTAGTGTTGCTCAGAGTATATTAGAACCTTTTACTTAAAGCCAAAGTAATATCGCACTTACCTAAATTAAATGTTTATTGTTGAAAAAATGTAATTAACATTAACTAAGATTTGTTTGCAAAAGCTAGTTTCAGAATCCATAATTTTAAATTGGCTAATTGTTAAAATTTACCACAGTTTATCAAGTTTGGATAAAATAGGAAGCTGTGATTAATCTTAAGGGAAAAAATCCCCATGTATATCCTCTTATATAATCATGCCAGAGTAAAATATGGGAACTTGGTACCATGCATACCTGAAATTCATTGTGTCTCATTTGTCACATAATAATCCATGATTTATTATGATAACTATGATGAAGACATCTCATCCCATTTCAAGCACTTATTTGCTGTTACTTTAAACTGTAGACAAGCAATATTAATTTTAATTAATTATTGTAAATCTAACCAATGGTTGCAGAAAACTCTTATAAATTGACAGCCATTTAAGAGCTTCCTGCCTGCACTCTATCATTAGTTTAGGGTATCGGGTTCTATCTCCATAGTTCTATAATTGCAGAGATATCAATAACAGCCTTCTATAAAGCATTTTCAAACACTGCTCATGAAAACTTTACTGTGGTGCTTAGAAATGAAATAGCATCAAGATAAAAGTAACTCGTGCATATTTTCCCCGCTCCCCCCACCTTTAAAAATTCTCAATAAATTTGTGTCATTCTCCACATTATTTCTAGAACTTGGTTACAGCTGAGGCTGAATGTCCAAACACATAAAATGAAGAATATGTTCTAAGTTTTGACTTATTGACATACCACAGCTGGCTGAAAAATGTACAAACTCATCTTGTTTGAGAATTGTTGAATGCATGTACTAATCAGTTGTCTTCTCTCAGCATCTAGTCATTCAGTTGTTTATTTTGTGTAAGAGTCCCAGGACCAATACAAGAAGGAGCCTAAGTTGGTAAACTTCAGCATATTTCAACATATATCATCATGTATGGTATAAAGAGGGAATTGCACATTTTTTGTGCTAATAGACTATAACAAATACAACTGCTTTTTCTCATATCCATTACCTTCTTTACCATAGCTGCCACTTCTTTCATTTCACTACAGATGTAGCAGATGTAATATATCAGGTTTTTTTAAAAGACAGGTTAAAAAGCTATTTGCAGTAGTTATAGCCAAAAATAATTGGCTAATAAATCAATGGAGTAGACAGCTTGACACTCTACAAAAGTACTAAAAACACTTATAAAAGACAGGACAATCCTTGTTTTATTCCTTTCCTTACAAAAGAAGAAGTTTCCTTTAATAGTAGTCTTCGTAGTTCTTAGGGTTCAGACAATAAAGTATGGCACCCCCAAATGAAAATATAGTTGCACCCCAAGCCAGGCCATAGCCCCAGTTGAACTCATGGTATATTCTTAAGTTGACAGTTTCAATGAACTTGATTGGGTAAAGGACAAGACTGCACACCTGAAGAACCACTGGAAAAAAAAGAGGAGGGGGAGAGGGAGTCAGATATAACATGTCTCAATTATCTAGTACAAATTCAACACAAAATCCTCAGAACATATTTTAAAATTAACATATGCCCCTTCCTGGACTGGATTAGAAACCTTGTATTTCAATATTCTAAATTAGAATTATTTTTTTTTACAAAGCCAGCAAAGTTGTTTTATCAACAGCAATAAAATATATTACTATATGCCATTCTTAATTGAAAATCATTTATAAAATTTCATATATTTGTAATGTCTGTGTATGAAATCAGTTATAATTGGAAAGGATTGCAGACAAAGAAGAATGCATTTTAGGGAATGTTGTAAAAAAAAATTCTGATACGTAGTAGAACTATATAAAAATCCATATGGCATTAGAAATTATGCCTGCTTGATACAGAAATGCACAACTCTGATTATTGAAGAGTACTGAGGACTAGGGCAATACATAATTTGAAAATCCTAAATATTGATATTAAAAAATCCTAATGAATCATAGGGTCTGCAGTTTTATTTTGTACATGCTACTTGTTCTGTTTCCTTTTTAAAAAAAAAATTATTAAGCATTTTTTAAAAACAAAAAGACTTAACACTTTCTGTTTCAACAGTTTCGCATCAGTCAAGAATTTCATACTTACACATTTTTCCTCCCTTATTTCTACAATATCTTTTATACATTTACTTCTAATATTTATTTATTTATTTACATATATACATAACAATACCCGTGTACCCACTTCTATTTCTACAATTTTTGTTTCCTCATATTAGCAATTATACTTCAACTCCTATTTCGACCATTATTTAATTTTTCCCTTCCTTTTATCTCTCTCCTCCAACCATTCATACCATTTCTCCCACACTAAGTAATATTCTATTTCCTCTTTTTCTTGTATCTCCTTTGTTAATTTGTTCATCTCCACACATTCCAAAGCTTTTCTGATCAGATTATCTTTGGATGGTATATTATAATTTTTCCAATTCTGAGCTGCTGTAGTAATATGGATAATTAAATATTGTATTTCTTTTTTATATGACCCTGAGAATATTCCTAATAAAAATGTTCCTGGCCTCATCTTTATCTTTTGTTTGATTATTTCTTCTAATTGTGGTCTGATTCTACTCCAATATTGTTTCATTTTGTGGCAGGACCACCACATGTGGTAATATGTTCCCTTTTGCTGTTTGCATTTCCAACACGTTGGTGAGGTATTGAGAAACATCTTTGCCAATCTGGCTAGTGGCAAGTGCCACCCGTAAAACATTTTATACAGATTTTCTTTATAGGATACACATTGTCAGTTTATAATTTTTGTTCCATAATTTCTCCCATTTATCTCATTCAATGTTGTATCCGAAATTTTTTGCCCAAATTATCATATTTTATTTAACTATCTCCTCTTCCAATTTGTATCTTAATAAATAATTGTAAATTTTTTAAATCAATTTTATCTTCTGTACCTTGGAGGATTTTGTCTATCTCATATATAATTGTTCTGTTTTCACTAACACATTAAATATAATAACTTATTTTCTCAATTAATGCTAATAATACTAATATTAATACAGACTAATGATCAATCTAAAATTCTTATTTGCTAAAATACTTTTATCTCTGCATTTTCACTGATAATTCCAAAGGGGAATATTGATTCACCCTCCCTGTCTTGTAAGCATCTTTAGGACTTGCATTTAGGGCAAACATTTAGGGCATGTTTGTACATAAACATCAAGAGGGAAATTTATATTACTTGTCTGACATTAAATTGTTTACAAAAACTCCAGCATTGGCTGTTGCTACAGTATATTTCCATTTCAGTTAACCAAAGATATTGATATGGTACCATAAAGTAATACCACCCCTGGCTCAGGTAAAAAGCAGATCTGTGGGCTCCAATGACCAGAACATTTGTTGTTATTCAAAGAAGATATATATATATCTTCTATATCATATCATATGTAAACTGATACGTATAATCCTAGGAAAAATATGAATCTCAGTAATCTTTCAAATGTAGAAAGAAACAAAAAAATACATACAACAAAAGGAACAGAAGATTTTGGCCCTATCATAAAAATACTACATAGCAGGTACAATACAGAGGTGTAAGACAGAGAGACAGAAACCAAAAAGCAGAGACATACAGAATTAAAACACAGTAAAATAATTTCAATATAGCAGTGAAAAACTCTTCAAACTGGATCTGATGATGTATGGACCAAAAGCCTTACACTCCCCCTAACAACCCATAGCTGTTGAACTTTTATGAAATAGTCTATTATTTATTGTTTCATCTGCCACTTAAACTGACATAGTTCAAGAAATGTAACTAGTTACTTTATAAACATTTGTTCTTCTTTATAAACAAAACTTTTCAGAGAGTTTCTGAGAAAAAACCCCATGGACAGTACCAAAAGGAAAAAAAGATATGACACTGGAAGATGAGCCCCTCAGGTTGGAAAGTGTCCAATATGCTACTGGGGAAGAGCAGAGGGCTAGTACTAGTAGTGCCAGAAAGAGTGAAGTGACTGGGCCAAAGCCGAAAGAACGGTCAGCTATGGATACATCTGGTGGTGAAAGGAAAGTCCAATGCTGTAAAGATCTATTCTCCATAGAAACCTGGAATGTAAGATCCATGAATCAAGGCAAGCTGGAGGTGATCAAACAAGAGATGACAAGACTGAACATCGACATCTTAGGAATCAGCGAACTAAAATGGACAGGAATGAGTGAATTTAATTCAGATGACCATCAGGTATACTACTGTGGGCAAGAATCACTCAGAAGAAATGGAGTAGCCTTCATAATAAATAAAAGAATAGGAAAAGCAATACTGGGATATAATCCCCAAAATGACAGAATGATCTCAGTTTGAATCCAAGGCAAACCATTCAATATCACAGGAATCCAAGTCTATGCCCCAACCACTGGTGCTGAAGAGGATGAAATTGACTGGTTCTATGAAGCCCTACAGCACCTTATAGAATTAACACCCAAAAATGATGTCCTTATCATCATGGGGAATTGGAATGCTAAAGCAGGAAGCCAAAAGATAACCAGAATAACAGGCAAGTTTGGCCTTGGAGTGCAAAATGAAGTAGGGCACAGGCTGATAGAATTTTGTCAAGAGAATACGATAGTCATAGCAAACACTCTTTTCCAACAACCCAAGAGATGACCTGATAACCACAATGAGGTGGTCACTGACCTCGAGCCAGACATCCTAGAGTGTGAAGTCAAATGGGCCTTAGGAAATCTGAGCAACAACAAAGCTAGTGGAGGGGACAGTATTCCAGATGAGCTATTCAAAATCTTAAAAGTTGGACTACTGTAACACCCTCTACATGGGGCTGCCCTTGGGATGCATCCGGAGGCTCCAGCTAGTCCAGAATGCAGCCGCGTGGGTAATTACAGGGGTTTCTCGATACTCCTGTGTAACACCTCTCCTGCATGAGCTGCACTGGCTGCCAGTGGCGTTCTGGATTCGTTTCAAGATGCTGGTACTTACCTATAAAGCCCTTCATGGCTTAGGCCCGGGGTACTTGCAGGACCATCTCCTGCCGCTCTCCCATCGTCCCGTGTGCTCTCACAGAGTGGGCCTCCTCAGGGTGCCGTCAGCCAAACAATGTCGGCTGACGGCCCCCAGGAGGACAGCATTCTCTGTGGGAGCCCCGACCCTCTGGAATGGATTGCCCACCCAGCTCAGGACAGCCCCCAACCTCCTTTCCTTCCATCACGAGCTGAAGATGTGGCTCTTTCGTCAGCTCAACTGATCCGTTTTGGGTGTACATTGTTATAATTTTAAATTGTTTTAATTGGGCTGTTGATTTTAATTTTATTGTGATTTGTATTGGAAATTGTCATTTTTGTAAGCTGCCCTGAGTCCCTTGGGAGAAAGGCGGCATATAAATCGCAATAATAAATAAATAAATAAATAAATAAATAAATAAATAAATAATAAAAGATGATGCAGTAAAAGTGTTACACTCAATTTGCCAGCAAATTTGGAAAACTCAACAGTGGCCACAGGATTGGAAAAGGTCAGTTTACATTCCAATTCCAAAGAAAGGCAATGCCAAAGAGTGTTCAAACTATCGCACCATTGCACTCATTTCACATGCTAGTAAAGTCATGCTTAAAATCCTACAAGCTAGGCTCCACCAGTATGTGGATCGAGAACTACCAGAAGTACAGGCAGGATTTCAAAGAGGCAGAGTAACTAGAGATCAAATTGCCAACAAACGCTGGATCATGGAGAAACCTAGGGAGTTCCAGAAAAAACATCTACTTCTGCTTCATTGACTATGCTAAAGCCTTTGATTATGTGGATCACAACAAATTGTGGCAAGTTCTTAAAGAGATAGGAGTACCAGACCATCTTATCTGTCTCTTGAGAAACCTATATGCGAGTCAAGAAGCAACAGTGAGAACTGGACACGGAACCACTGATTGGTTCAAAATTGGGAAATGAGTTGGGCAAGGCTGTGCACTGTTACCCTGCCTATTTAACTTATATGTAGAGCACATGATGAGAAAGATGGGGCTAATAAAATAAACAAAAAGGAAGATATATCACTCCAAAACGTATGGGATACAATGAAAGCATATATTAGAGGATTGGCGATAACATATTTGAAGAAAAAAATAAAAATAAAGGACAAATACAGAAGAAATTAGAAGAATATAAAAGACTAGAGAAAGAATTACAGAAAAACCCACAAAAAGATAAGTTAAAAAACAAATGGAATTGAAAAAACATGAATTAAATTTAATTGAACAAGAATTTTTGGCACATAAATTGAGGTCCGCCAAACAGTATTTTTTTGAAAATGCAAATAAACCAGGCAGATGGTTGGCATACAAAATGAAAAAAGAAAAAGAGAAGTTAATTAATCAACTACAAGATGAAAAAGGAAAGATATGTTATAGAAATGAAGAAAAGAAAAAAATAATTCAAGACTATTATGAAAAATTATACAATCAA